ACACACACAACACACATTGAAAATCAAAATGATTAATTTTATAATCAGTGGTCAGATCTTTTGCTGTTACTAATTGCAGTTAATCTAATGATGTCAATAACTTTGTCAGTAGTTTAATATATAGCTCGATATTGTAAGCTGTGGTACTTACGGAACCATTTTTTTTTACTCCTTATACTTTCAGACTTTCAATGATTAATTTTTAATTAAGTACGAAAATAATTTTTATGAAATCAAGCTTATTCTATCTTTTAATAAGAAAGAGGGAAGGGGAACTAATGTGTTGGAATATTGAAATTAAATATTAGATTGAAGAGTAAGTGAAAATAAATAAGATATAATTTTTGCCACATTTCAGATTGGAGAATTAAATCGTGAAACTGGTCGACTGCAACTCAAGCAAGCATTCTATAATGAGGTTTTTTTTTTGCTTATAAATGTTTTTAAAAAAGATGCTGTGCTGTGCTTAACGAAAGCCAGATTTTTCACTGTTAAAAATTCTAAAAATATCTGGAATAGCTAATTTGATCTTTTTTTTTTGCTTTTTCAGGTCGATGCACGTTGGCCAGGTTTTAATTCAGATGAAAAAAGTTATGTAAGGAAGATTTTATCCGGTAGTATGGGTAATAATATTTCAAATTTCGCACCGGTGCGAAAATCGAGAATCGTTCCCATGGTGGCTCCTGGATCAGGAACGCTGATTAGTAATGCAACAACAGATGGTTTGCTATTTATTTTTCCAAGAAATATTTTCCGCATTTTTGCTGATTTATTTGCTTTTTTATCTCCATTCATTTGGATACACATGAAAATTTTTGCATCAAAAAATTTATAAATTTAATAGATTGAGCAGTATGAAAACAAATAAAAAAGTGAAGAACAGTGATTGAAGCCGCTTCATCCGCTTTATTTTTGCATCGATTATTTACGACTTGAAAAAATCATAAAAAATTTAAGTTGAACATTTATGAAGTGCAGCGAACAGTTCAGTTTTATTTGTTATTGAAGTCCCTTACTCTCAACGAAATCATTTTGTTTATATTATGAAGGTGAATACAATTCTTATAATAAAGATGCTTGTATCCAATGCATAATAAATTCTGTAAATTTTTCCTCTATTAATTCAATAATTTTTACCAAATTGATTTTCCAACTAATGTACTAATTCTCCTTGTTAGCTTATTTTTTATCAGAAGAGTTCTGTTCATAGTTGGCGAGACCATTGGATTAATTATTTTTTGTCTTCAGTCTTTGAATAAGTAACTCTAATTCTGCATTTCATTTTTTCAATTTCAAATTTACTGAATTTTTTTAGATTTACAAAGAACTAATAAATAGTTTTCCTTCAACTCTTTTAGCTAATACATTATCTCTTTATAATAGCAATCTTGCGGCCAACATGGAATTATTGAGTTACAATCATTCAAATAATAGTAATAGGTTATTTCGATTTGGACAATTTCTTTGATATACCTACATAAAGTTATTGCTGTTGTTGCAGACTTCTGTTTTGGTATTCTTAGTTAAATTTAAAATCATTTCCACTGTCCATATCAATGACAGTGTCGTCTTTCATTGAATTTCGCTGTAATTGTTTCGTTCTCTTCATTAAATATAAATGAAGTTTATAATTCATCTATAATAGATCCAAACTGTTTCTGTATTTTCAGAATTAAAAATTTAGGATTTCAATCTATTTAACATTATATTTATATTTTTTTAGATTCATCTTTTCGTGCTATGCAAAGCAAATCTCCAGAATCCACAGCTTCCAGTATTAGCTCAAAAAGCCCCGCCGAAATTAACAATATTGTAAATAATACGGGGATAGAGTATGTTTTATGAAGTTATATATGATAATATGAAATTAAAAGTTAAAACTTATTAGTCTTGCTATCAGTTATTCCATTTCTTTGTAGCAGTAAGATGAATGATGATCTCAATAACTCAAGTATGCTCAGTTCAAAGCGAAAAGCTCATATTAATGCACCTCCTCCGATCACCTCCAAGCGACCACGACAACAGTCGTTATCACCACCAGAAGATCCATCGAATGCTAACTTAACCACAGATCCACAGCAAGCGGTATACTTTCATTTTTTATTGATAAATTTAGAGCTTTATGGAGGAGGTCAAAGCTGCTTGCTTGTGATTATTTTAGACCAGTGCTATTTCGTAATACTTTTCGTTCATCATTATTTACAAATGCTATTGCATGCGTAATATTATATATTCAGTTGAACCGCTTTTCAATTTCAAAACGCTGATTTAAAACATGCAGAAAACCTTAATTAAATGTTAAATTTAGAGATGTTTGACTTACACGATCGTGATAATATGACACAAACCTTAGAAAAAATCCAGGCAGATTTACTGTTTAGTGATGCTTTGAATTTATTTTATGAGTTAATTCTTACTGTACTTCTTCTGATTCATGGTAAATAAATTCCAGAAAAATACTGCTCAACGTACCGTTGGACTGAATGATATTGAACGACCAACGGAACCAATAAGCTCTACAGCTACTAACTTATCGCCTAATTCTGCGCCACAGACTAGTCGTGATTGGTTGAAGGAATTTCCAGAACCACGAAGTTTAGAGGAAGCCGAACTGTATTACTTGAAATTTCTGGTAATATTCATTTCTTCTTTTTTCTGCTCCTGAAATTTGGTGCTTAATTTTTTGAATTTTTTTGGATCTGAAACTACTAGCTTCGGAAAATTTTTTATTCTTTCAGATTTTAAGCTTATACTACCTATTTTTATTGGATATTAATGCAGTCCTGAGTTGACATTTTTGAAATATTTCTCCTAGTGCTTCTTCCATTCTTGTTTGTCCTCTCTCAGAGACTTTTTTGTTTAGAAAAAAAAGTTTAACAATATTTTTCATATTTTTAATTACTTTTCTATAAAATAAAATTTCATGTATTGATTGAAAGCTGAATTCAGGAAGATTATCCGAAATATCTGACATGTTATAATATTCTATCAGCTGTAGTAAATGAATTCAAAGAGCTAGAAAAGAAGATGAACGAAGCGCCGAAAAATTCAAAAGAACATGAAAAAGTATGTATTTCAAATTTTAGTGTCAAAAAGCTAAAGTTAAATATAGCCACTGATACAAATTGAAATTAAATGTAAATTAATGTATTAATTGTATTTGGAAGTAATGCTTTATTTATTTACAAATATTCAAATGATGATATTTGTATAGATTTTTCATTCATATTTTAATAATGGGATAGAATGCAATTATTGATTCAAATTGAAGTTCTAAATTCTTAAAAGAAAGAGAATACATATAATAATATATGATTTCTTGGATTCTTGGTTTTTGCACATCATATATTTAAGGCAGAAGAAGCAATAGAAATGCGATATTTGCATTATCAGCGTAATCCGGAATATTTGGAAACAAGGCAAAGACATGAAGATTTGAGATCAAAATTGGAAATTTTGAAGAAGCATGTAGATTTTTGGGAAAAAAATCAAAGGAGGCAGCTTGCTACGGATAGGACTAATTTAAACAACAGTAGCAACAACAGTAATCATCACATTCTGAAGAATACGTCATCATGATTTTGCTCCATAATTCTCAAAGAAATTTGCTATTCAAATCCATTTTTTTTCTTTTTTTTTGCCAAATTAACAATCTTTGATCACTTAATGTTGAGTGTTGATCTTATCAGTGCAGTTAAATCCATTACTGACGCATTATTTTATTGAGGTCATAGTCTATAATTTTTCCGGAGCACATCTTCACTCATTCATTTGTTTTGAAGTATTTAGGGAATAAAAAAATAGGTTGAATGTTTGATTTTGTAGAGCAAAAAAAAGATTATATTGCTATAAAGATTTTCGAGAACCTTCTTAAGTCGTTCCTCTGTCTCATGCTATGATTCTAATTAAGTACAAATGACATCTGTCATCATCATATGGCTATTGCATTGTAATTTTTTTTTCTTGATATTGCATACCTGAATGTTTCTAAATTATTAGAAACAATATACAGGAAAGATTGGAAAAGTAACAATCTATTTGATTCATATTTTCTCTCAGTTTTCTGTGATGAGTGTTTTCATCTCTTTTTTTTGCAGTAGAGCAATCACTATTGGAAGATTGAAGTTCACATAGGTCAAATTAAATTTTGAAGGGAAAAGAAACAATAAAAACTAATGATAAACAACTTTTTGAAAACTCGATCTCAAATTTTTGAAGCCATAGACGTTGCATTCTTCGTTGAGAGTGCAGATAAAATAGTGATAACTAGCCGATTGTTTACTTCTGATAACAAATATGTTTATATAAAAAATGGTTAGTTTAAAATATATTAGGAAAAAAAAGTTTGAATAATATCTGGAGAAAAAGTTTTGTGAAATTCATAGGTCATTTTTTTATCATTCAATATTTCCAAAATGAAAAAATTTTTTTTCCTACGAAATGAGTAAAAACGTAATTGCTTCCAACTATTCAATCTTTCTTCCTCAATTTATTAAAACAAAATAGAATTTATAAGTTTTTTTTTTTTTTGAGGAATGAGAAATATACAGTCGGAATTGGAAAGTTAAGTGTCGTTTTCTTATAATCTTTTCCGAGGATGTTTTTTTGTGAAATAACACTTATCATCTTACTAAAGGGGAAATCTCGATTTTCATATTAGGTGTTAGCCTCAGAGTTATAGTCAGTGAAGGCTGTATGAATAATATTACCACATTTTATTTATCAATTTATAATTCTCCTTAATTTGATGACGAATCAATTAGGTCTTATCATTTTCTTCTATGGAGCAACTTTTTTTTTTTTTAAAATCAAATCCATTGCTCGGTTTTTAATTATATATCTTTAGCAGATATCACACAATTCTATCCAAAATTGAGGTGATTTTTTGAAGTTTTTCCTTCTTTATTTGGATTTTCTTATCACTTCATTCTTGTCTTTATTCTTTCCGAATTTCTAATATCTCTTTCTCTTCTTTCTCGAACTATGTAAATGTTTATAGTTTTCCGTCTCATTCATCGACATATTCGGATTTTATCTGTAAAGGTCAGGAATCCTAGTAAACAAGTAGACGATGCGGTCTATAGCTTTACTTTCAAATTCAATGAAGTAAAAGAATTTTGAAGAATTTAGTTAGTTTAAAATGGCGCATGAATTAATAGCGACTTTCTAACCTAAATTTTCGAACACTTTATTTTATCCTTATGAAAATGTGCATTTTGTCATGGATTTATATTGAGAGATCTAAAATGAATTCTGAACTTACTCGCTATTTATCACGGCAGGCCTTTATACATCATTAGCGAGATAGATTTGTGTCACCATTTACATATTTCTCTATTGTATGATTGGACCGTCATCATGTTGTCTAGCAAAGTTAATTTGTTCCGTAGAATTCTGTAGATAAGTGTAAATTAAAAAATGTTTTTTTTTTGGGTTTCAATTTTATGTTTAGTAATTTGATGCAATTTCATTCTTTTATTCCTATCTTGCTAAAAAATAATGTAGAAATTTGAATTTTCAAATGAAAAAAATTTCCTTCTCCATCACATTTTTTTTCTGATTATGAAACAATTCTTCGTTAGAGATTGCTAAATGATTTATTATTAGTTTCAGAAATATTTCAACTGAAACTTAGGTGAGATTTCAATAATTAATTATGTGAAAAAAAATTGTGAGCTTTCTCTTGAATCTTTCATTGGTTGTCATCTTGTTTATCACATCAATTATCATCATTATTTTATGGTCAGCATTATACATTATTTATTTTATCATATGCATGTAATTTTTTATGGATTTACTCGTGTCATCCATCGGAATCGCTAGTCATATTTTCATTTCCTGCTTTTTATCCTCTATTCCAAGTATATTTTAATTTTTAACTTGTCTAAAGAAATGTCGAGAAAAAAATTTGAGATCAGGAGAAATAGAGAAGGTTAAAATAAAATAATAATTCAAAAATTAGGTAGCATCTAAAAGAGAAATTTTTCTATATTTCAAAGAATTCCCATATTCATTTATCATTTATGAGAAGGAATATATGCACAAAATTTAAACATGTGAGTGAAACTTTCCTCATATTGCATTCCAATACAGCATTCATTTATAATTAGAAATTTGACCACAATTAGAACTTGGTACTGTTAGTTAGTTAGTTATCCGGTTTGTGATTCAGGACACAGTTGTTAGATTGACCGACATGGAATTTTTTAAAATATCAAAATAGAATTTTTCTTTTTCAATTTAATAAAAGAAAAAAAAATTTGTTGGAAGGAATACATTACAAGAATTTTGGTTTGCTTTTTTTTTTCGTCTTATCTCTCCTGTTATATGTAGATGATTCCGGTTTTATTCTTTCAACTGTAACACATTAACGAGATTCTTTTATGATAGATATTTATCAGAAATCAATTAGTATTATGGGGCGTAGTATTTTTAACAGTGTTTTTTTTTTGCTTTCAAATATTCAATATTGATTGTTGATTTCTTAATTCTCATTATTATATTTCCGTTCATTTTGATTATTCTTCAGTTTTATATTTTACATGAAGCCTGAATTTTTCTTTTAATTCAAAAAATATCTTTCATATTCAATAAATTCATGAATTTACAATTTAGTTTACAATTACTAGAATATTCCAATTGTAAACAAAAGTTGCAAATCCATCATAATTTTTTCTTTGTACTCTTTATCCTATGGGATTGTTTTATCCGTAATATGTGCCTACAATTGAATTTCGTTTCTTACAAAATTTTTATGTTTAGCTTCTTAATGATATTGAATTTTTGCGGGTTCAACTATTCTGTGTCTATCCTATCCATTCAGGTTGTTTATGAAATGCCAAGTATTAAGGTATAGCTTTCCATTCTGAAGAGCTTAAAAGCAGAAACCAAAAAAAAACCGTCAAGACATTAGAAATTTTTTTAGTCTAAAACATCATCACAAATCTAAATTTTCTCTCAAATGCTTTTTTTTAAAACAGTACCAGAATAATCTGCAAGTCTAGTTTAAAAAAAAAAACCGAAAAGTTCCTTCTTCAAGACATATATCGCTTTTTAAACCCATAATTTTTTGAATATTCATAGGAGTAGATTGGAGAGAAGAAATGAAATTTCTTATATTAATTAATTGACGATTAGTTTAATTGAAATTTCCGGATCTATTTGATACGTTTACTTTGCTTGAGATTATGAAATTCGTATTTTGTACGTGTTTTTCATTTCAGGATTTTTGTACTTTTGCTTTCATTTCACTTTCTTTTCCGAAACCAAAAGTTTTAATCAACTATAGTTATAAGAAGCATTGAGTTTGTTTGTGTGAATTTTTGTGATCGAATAATTTCTTGCAAGAAAAAAAGAAAAATCTTTTCTGTAAAAACTTATGTTTGTATAATGTGTAAGGATTAGATTATAGGTAACTATAAAAGACACAAAAAAAAATTTTTTTTTTATAAGGAAAAAATTATTTTTTGCAATATTTTTTTAATCAATTTTGCTATTTATGGGTATTTGTATGAATTCAACAAATATATGGGTAGTGTAAAGAATCTCTCTTTTTTCAAAACTTTTTTTTCCTTCTATACTATTCTATCAGGAAAAAAAAAAATTTTTCTAACATTTCCTATTCTTTATTTTGCATTATTGTAAATGATTTCTATTTTAATGTTACTTTTTTCTATGTTTTATTCTTGCCTAATTTGTATTCCGGAGTTTTGAAGTTTGAACAAATAAAATATGGGTGGTATGTGATTGAGAGTTATTTTCATATACTCATTCGGTATGACATTGAATGTTATCAGAGATGATTTTTCCTATCACCATTATGAATATTAGATTGTTCATATCCGTCGAACATTGCCACAGTATTGTTAGATAATTTCTATATTAAGAAATAACTTATGAGAGCTACCGTAGTTAGTATGATAGTTACAATAGAACGAGAAAATCTTCGATTTCAATATCTCTTTTCTTCTACGGAACGATTACTTGAATATTACTATATCTTAATTCATGTTTGAAGTTTAACGATAAGAATTACCTGTTAAGAAGATTAAAAATAGAATGGGGAGGGAAAATTTGGAAGGTTGGGAATACGCATAAGCATATGTTAATTTCATCTAAATGGCAAACCATATATCATCCATCGAATAAAATATCTTTTAAATTCACAGAGGTGATACCGCTTTTGCTAGAAATTCTGTTGCACAGTATACAACGACTGATAAAGGCAGGATTTCAATCCGATCATCAGATTCCGAAAGAATCGTTGCATAATATGCGATCTCATATTACAACAAATCTTGGAAGTGATAAAATTGTTCGAATTTATTGTTTATTATATCATTACATCACTTAGATTTAACAGACAAGCAAAATTGCAAAAAATACTGCATTGATTTAAATCCGAGATGAAATATGGAATCTTAGGACGAAATATTCCATTCTTTGATATATTTCATTTTATCAACTCACATTGGAAATCTTTACTGGTCTGATTTGCTACACGATTATCAATGATATGCTTATTGAATCCAGAAACGCTCGGTTCACAAATGAAATTCTTTTTCAAATTATTTAATTACAAAAATAAGATCGTTATCATTTAGTCAGGAAGATGCATATTCCTGAAAAATTGGACGAGATTCATTCCGAAGTACATGTATTTGATGTTAATTCAGATTGTTGAACGATGATTAACTAATGAATTTTACATGAATCATTTGTGAATTACTATTATCATTGCTTCATGTATAATTTTCTATTTAAATGATAAGGATTTCCGTGGAAAATGAATGACTTAGACGTGAGTTTTTTTTCACAAATTGATTACTGAAAAATCTGAAAATTGATTACTGAAAAAAAAGTTTTTCACAAAGTGATTAGGAAAAATCACAATTGATTACTGGAAGAAATTGTATTATACTTATTCCTCCTATGTATACTTCTTAAGTGTATGATATTTCGTAATACAATTGAAATACTTCACAAGGAAGAGAAAATATTTGATAAAGACTTAGAGTGATCGATAAAGATTATCAGAATAATGCAAATAGTGTCTCATTCTCGTTATCAGCATCGTGGAGCTAGAAAAATTGCATAGCGCGAAATTGTGAGATATGAATTGTTGCGTAGCGATGTGGTGTGGATGACGTAGATTGTCAAGTTGTGTGACTTAGATGGTGTTTGGTTTTTTTTGCATGGCATGAGGTCAATAGGGTTGGGTTAACCATTGGCTGATTGAGCGTTGGGATGTTACACATAATTAGTAGTTTGGTCTCTTTCCAAAGGGACCAGTCTATTTTATATGTGAAATTAATGATGAATTCCGTCTTTTTCACACTTTTTTATCATCAAGTTTTTCACATTAGTGAAGCAGATGATTTGACGATAAGTTATTTGTTTGGCAAGTATGACTGTTGCATCAGGCACTTCCAAAGCTTAGATCATCTTCATCAGACGTTGAAATATTCCGTTTTACTCGAATATCTGATTCAAGACTACCTTGCTCCATTGCTAATTTCGTGATGCTCATCTTGGCAGAGAATATATAGCTTGTTTTGTCTTTGTTAGTCTCAAGAGAGATGTCAACAATTACTCACTTCTGGAAGATCTATGCAATTAGCATTCTTCAAAAGTTAAGTGGAGCATTGCATTTTAAGAAGTCAATCCTTCTTCTTTCTTTTCTGGATAATAGAGCGTTATTTGCTGATGACTAAAGATTATCTAGTATGCAATTAATCCATTTTGAAAAGGGCATTCAGCATTCGAAATGGTCGCAATGATTTGTTACTGATAATACCACAGACTTTAAGATGGATAACGTGACGTGAAGAGATGATAACACGAAAATGCGAGAGTAGGAAAATTGATGTATGATACTAGCAATATCATTTGACCTAGCTAATTCCTGACTATGATGGTCGAAATTTAAACTATTTGATGAAAGAATTTAGCAATTTAATAAGCATAGTAAAAAGTAACAATTTATAACTTATTCATTGCAACAAAGCTTGTGCTTTTCAGAAGCTCATACGGAATCCTTCCGTGTCTGGCTTCCGGTTCAGTGTTCTGATTTTTATTATTTTTGAGAATCAAGATTAATTATTTTGCCGCTTTTGTATCTTTTCACCTTTAATAGAGTGGAATTTTCTCTGGCAAAAAATATCGAATCAGTACTTCAAATTGATTGGCTTGCGAAATATTGATGGTTATTAGTTCCATGTAGTGCTTATTAGTTCCATATAATTCCTGCAGTGATTAAAAATAATATTTCTGGATTGTCATCTGATAAAGATTTGCTTCCAGAGCGCTTAAATTCCCCTGTATGATCGATATTTGAAAAAGCATTATCTTATTCTTTTTTAGTTGAAGTATATTGTAAAGGACAGTTGAAAATTTAGAGTAAAGTAAATCGCATAGAGAATTGTTTGTCGAAGAGGCCGTTGAATTATTAGTCAGAAATGTTTTAAATTTTTATCTTTTCAGACACACTTATAACAAAGTAACAAGATATTTTATTAAGTGTGAAGTCATGGCTTCAATGAATCCCGAATAGTGAGTTTCAAATTTTTTCTCTTACATATTAATTTGACTAAAAAATAAATCATTGTAAAGCAGTGTGTCAGGTAGAGTAGCACAATTCAAAAACTGTTTTCCTTACTCTACTCTTGAATTCATTTTAGAAAGCACATTACCTCAGTTTTTGGTCAATTTTGAAACGGATCTAAAAGGAAGTGATTAGTTATACTAGTACTTGTGATTGTTGATGAGAATGCTGAAATCTGATTACTGATAAGTTTTTCACATACTATAAACTTTTCATGAGATTAAAAATGACTAACATGAATATTTTGGGGATCGTAATTTTCAGTGACTATTTATTCAAACTTCTACTGATTGGCGATTCCGGCGTTGGAAAATCATGTTTGTTGCTCAGATTTGCCGATGATACTTATACCGAATCGTACATTTCAACTATAGGAGTGGATTTCGTTAGTTATTTATTGGAATTTGTTTAGAAACGATTTACTGATCATTCCCGTACTTATTAATTTTAATGAAAATAGAATGTTACAACCTAAAATGTTACAATTAATCGAACATTTAGGAAAATAGGTGCATTTGATTTTCATGGTGAATTTCTAGTTCAAGTACTTCTAATTGGAATCATCTAATTTCTATATTTTTCAACAGTGTTTGAATCCAGCAGTGTTTTGCTTACTTTTCATTCATAAATCATGAATCAGTCAAAATGGAGAGGTTGATGTTTTCTGAGGCAGAAAAATGTAACGGAAAGATGTTATAACATGAAGACAGTATTTAGTGGAGGATTCCTCGAGGAAATTAGGTCCTGGATTTTGACAGTTTTAGATGCTTTGATGCAATTAGTCGAGGTTGGAATGCAAAACTGAAAATGAGGATAGTATGATGGCGTGAACAAGAGCAAGTCTAGCAGTTATGGATAGTTTTGGTGTTTTGAATGCTTTGCAGTATGTTTTCTAATTTAGCTTCTGTATTTTACTATTATTAACTTATTGCATCTTCTCTTAGTAGCACTATTTACTGTCATTCGATGAAGAATTACATTCTTTAGGTACTAAAGCCCGTTTCACACTACAGAAAAATTTGATACATATTCCGGAATACTGCTATAATGCTTTTTTGTTTGTGATTGTGAATAGAGCATCAGTAGTGGTGTGACAGCGCTGAAAAATGATGCTTTTGTAGAACCTAAATTCTATTCATATAATGGGAACATAATATGTCCACCCAAAGAGTTTGAAAGAAAGCCATTCTGTTCACAGCTCAAAAAACTGGTTTTCTTTTCCTATGCCTTTCTCTTTTGCCTTATACGAGATGAATTTTGTAACTATCTCTTCAACGCGTTCAGAACGCTGTTCTCTCAAGTAAGCTTTTGCAGCAGTGGTCGTAATGGCGATATTACACATAGCAGTGGAATAGAATAAATTAATTCCCTCACTGATCCATTTTTAGAAAATCATATAATACATCAGTTTTAGATAAACTCTATCAGTTTTATCCAAGAAAGAAATGTAGGTATGGGAATGTAAGCTAAGTTACGTTGACTTATTTTACATGTTGATAAAATTTGCAGCAATGTCAATGAATAAGTAAGTGTCTCTCTGTTATGGAGCGGTTTCACTCTTCTTGTAGCTTTATTTTTCAATTTTACGACTTTTTATATTAATTTTTTGCTGTGTGGAGAATTCTGAATAATTTTTTCAGCCAATTGCGAAAGAAAGTAATGCATTATACATACGAAATATTCTGGTATTTGAAATTTTTTGAAGCTTATATTAAATAATTTTTACAGAAAATTCGCACCATCGACCTGGATGGAAAAACGATTAAATTACAAATTGTAAGTATTTCACTTAGTCGAATTCATAATCAGTTCACCGAGGATAATCCGAAATTATTAAAATATACTTCATACGATAGAGTTTCAATATGTGTTGGAGGACCCTTCCTCAAAGCTTCGTATGAATCCATTAAACTCCAGTTGTTGTTCATGAGTCGTTTCAATAAATGAGTTGGTGTGTTGGTGTTAAAAGCCTTAATATATATAATCGTAACGAAACTAAAAATCAGGAATGTTAAGTTTATTAACGCAGAGAATTATTTACAGTGGGATACAGCTGGACAGGAACGATTCCGTACAATTACCTCCAGTTATTATAGAGGTGCCCACGGTATCATTGTTGTATATGACATTACTGATCAGGTTACTTTATGTAATGTTTACTTTGTCGATTAACAAAATAGTCTAAAAAAGTATGAGCCATAAGTGGTTGTTTATTTTTTTGCAATTTGACCGTTTACAATCATTCTCGTTACTGTTGAAACAAAAAGCATAAGGTAAACGATTTTAGGGAACAGACCGGAACGGGCTTTACATGCATATGAAAAATTTTATTGTAGGAGTCATTCAACAATGTTAAACAGTGGCTACAAGAAATTGACCGGTATGCATGTGAGAATGTCAATAAATTGCTTGTTGGAAATAAATGTGATTTAACGACCAGAAGGGCAGTCGAACAAAGCGCTGCCAAGGTTTCTCGTTTTTTATTGGCATTTTACAAAAAATGTATTAAACAAACTGAGAAGTTAAATAAAATACATTTCTATTGCTTTTAGATACAGCATATAAGTTTTTTCTTTCAGTGATTTATTGTAGTTCGAATCTTTTTGGCAATGCAGGTTTTTTGATTTTAAGCTAATTGTATTCAGTTGTTCCATATTGAAAACAGCTGTCTTGCTGTGGTCAAAAAATTCCCTACTAGTGTATATTTAAAATTCGACTTTTCTTGTTTTTCTTTTGGGACACTTTTTCCTCTTTGTTAAATTTGCTTAAGTTATCATTCATACATTTATTTCTGATCAGATAAGTAAACTTTTATAAATCGTAAGATGAAAGAGCATTTAGAAAAGTTCCAAGTTGCTTCTATTGACATTGAAAAAGGATACGTGCAAAAGTTTTATGAAATTAAAGGCATTATTGCTGCCGTAGTTACTGTTTTTCACAGTCTAGAAATTCTAAAAACTTCTAGCACTTATTTACTTTAATGAGGGCATTGGGCACTTGTTACATTGTCAGAATGCTAGTGTTTGAAAAAATTCGAATCTTGATGTTTTAATATTTTAATTATTGGTTTACTGTATAGAACTCTGACGGTAAAAGATGCCCAATTGTTTGATATTATGCAGACATCATGAAAACTTTTTTCTGGTTGCTTCTAGTAATTATGGCAATTTAGTTCCATGAAATCTGTTCTTTAAAAGAATATGTCGCAGTTGATTTGGATAAGATCATTTTGAACTTGCTTATGAAAATTAAAGGGAAGTATCGCTATTGAAATCTGTAGGAAATTAAGTAAGAATATTTTAGCTACCAATGATATAATGAGATAGTTATGGAATTGCAACTGATGCTCAGTAGATTAGCTGGTTAATCTTTGACATATAATTCAGTTTAAATCGCTTCTTTTCGGACTTAATTGTTATGCAGTTGGCATCGCAACATTTTTCCTATTACTTGTTGAATTCAAGACCTCATAAGGTTTTGTTTGTAATTAAGGCTTTTTGGTTTTGATTATTCAAAATTATATGTGAAGTGAGCTGTTATTAATTGGCAAAAGTTTCTCTAAGCCAAGAGTGAAATAGAGTCTTAAAAAAAGGCGAGAGGAAGGAAAAAAGTTGGAGAATGGAAAAGTATCATGTATTGTACATGATTGAAAGTCCCCTTTTGTAAAACCATTTGTACATTTTTATATTCATTTTCTGACGATAATATATTTATATGTTTGCTTATAATTAATCTATATTTCGACAAACAAAATTTATTCTATCATAGGAGTATGCTGATCAATTGGGAATTCCGTTTTTGGAAACGTCTGCGAAATCATCAACTAACGTCGAGCAAGTAAGCAGATTTTTATGTTTTAGAATATAGGGTTACATTTTTTGATATTGCAATAATGGTCACCCCTTTCATTTTTGAAATGAGTTAGAATCACGATTCATTATTTGTATCTTCCAGACATAGTTGTCTTCCTTTTCTTGTCTCGTAATTTTTTTTGAAGATGTAAATTTCTTGCAATCAGGGACATTAAAAAATTGCGTTTGGCAGTTCAGCACTGTTAGAAAATCTCTTAAATTTTCTGAATAAAAGTGGTCATCGCTTTTCAAATACTATCTTACAGTTTCATTTTTCCTATTATATTCTTGGATTATTTGTTATTGTTATATATGACATTAACAGTCAATTTTAGGCATTTTTAACAATGGCATCTGAAATAAAGAACCGAATGGGCCCAATTCAACAAGTTGGTACAGGGCCATCAGTACGTATCGGGGGATCTCAGCCTGTGAATGAAAAGAAGAATGGTGGCTGCTGCTGAGAGTTGTTGAAATATATTTCTTCCTTCAGCGATGACTGTTATCTATTCGATATATCTTTTAGACAGTCAAAAATTACATTTTTTAAACTTTTTCATCCAATATATTCTTCTCATCCCCCTTTTTCCTCTAGCTACTTTTCAGTTTCTATTGTTTTTACTGAAAAACCAGATTTCTCATTACATTGATTCAGCTGTGATGTGAGTTTTTGTATTTTGTTTTACTTTTCTTCCTGGTTAGATTGCTTTCTTCAGAATTTTCCTTAGTTTTCCCGCTATCAGAACTCGATATTATCGATCAGGCTAAATATGGTCTATTTAACAGTTACAACACCATACTTTTATTATAAGATGATAAGAAGGAAGCTACTTTTGAAATGTGCTTATATTTTTTGAAAACATTACAATATATAGGATTATTGCAACAGATTTATTTTTGCTTGTAAGCGAGCTTAACTCTGTTTTCTAATAAAGTTCGGGATTTCTTTTGAACTTTTTTGAGGGTATTGTGACATTATTCGAGTCAGAAACCATATATTTCATCGTTTGGAAATACTTGTGTTCAGTAGATGGTTCATGGTGAGCCTTTCAATCTTTTCTTTTTTCTGTCTTATCATTATTTTTCATTCTTGTAATACGCAAACGAATTTTTAATTATCATTTTACTTTTAAGCATGTCATTGATCCATGGTTGTAAAAACCAGTTACAGTTTCTGCCCAGAGGGAAAAATTTATAGTTGCATTCAATTCAACCTTCCTATTCTGAGGTCGCTAAAAAACAATATTATCATTATGGCATGAATACATTAAAATTATTGTCGTTATTTTACCATATGGTTTCATAGATTTTCATAGATTCATCGCTATCACAAAAAATGGTCCATTTTTGATTTTGTTTTTATGGGGTTCGTTTTCCCAACTTTTTATAAATTTATATTAAAATGTCTCTCTCTTTAGCTAAAGTAAATATTTTTTTTCGTAGTTGTGTATGTTTTCTACATTATTCGGGATTCGATGTGTTCATTACGGTACACATAGTACGTTGAAACCTACGTCAATTTGGTCAGCAGTACCGTTTCTAAAATTGAAAGCTGTTAAGCATGATGGAGTGTTCATTTTCTCTGGTGGGTTGTGAGCTTGCATTTATCACCGATGATCCGTTCTTGTGTATCTTCCGATATACTGAGTGATTGCAAGTATATTCACTGACCGACACGAACTCATCTTAATTCACATCATTTTGTTAGTAATGGTAATAGGTAAAAGCTCATTTCATTAAGTTTTTAAAAACATTAATAGAGGTTCTATTAAAGGAGATCAAATTTAAGATTGCATTCAGTATGTAATTTCTGTGTAGTTATGACGGTTTTTTAGTAACCTGAATCTGATATTAGTAGATTCATAGGAATATACCTAATGATGACCTATTGGAAGTTTTCTTATCACAATAGAAGTTTGTAGAATGTGCTATAGAATCTTCTGAAAAAGAACTGGAAATGAGATCCTAAATATTGTTTTACTTTTTCACTGGTTACCACTTTCGTTCACTTCAATCATACTATTTCAGAATGTCAATCTGGTTAGCTAAGACGATAACTTTGACTTAATTTTCTCATTTTTTATAAGAAGATGCTCTTGACCAGCTTGAATTTTCAGGTTGTTTGAAGTGATCATTCTATTATCATTAAAAAAGCATAATAAAGAAAGCAAATCGAATGCGTAGAATAAAAAGCAGACGGGAAATTGGTTGGGGATATTTTCAATTTTGATGCTTTACATTGTATCTTTTTTTATAAAAATGAGATTTCCAGGTATTTTTTTTCTCTAAGTCCTAATGCTTCCATAAGTATTGAGAAAAACAACATTTAAATTGATAATAAAATGGACGAATGGAGAAAATATAGATGATATTGGGAAGGTGAGGAGAGATTAGAGATGGGGAAAGATGTCATTGATAAAAATTTGGATGTTTAAGACATGTAAAGAAGAAAAATGAATCGTAATATGACAATTGATTTGAAAACAGGAAAATGAAGACGATTCCATTCTATTTATTCACCATTTTCTTTTAAATATCTTAAGATTAAAAGTGGGAAGAAGGTGACAAATAGACGGATAAGCGAAATTAAATTCGTCAATTTTTTCCTGAACTTTCGAAAGTTTTATTTTCAATACTGATATAATGGAAGATGATAATTCAACTTCATTTCTTATTGAATTCATATGATTGTAATACTGTTAGTGTTCCAATAGTAGCAAATAATACTGAAGTACAAATTTTGTCATAATACATGTTTAGAAATTGTAGATCCTGTCAATTCATAAAATGTAATTATTCTTTTTGAAAGATCAAAATTTTTCCAGAATATTTTTTTTTTCTTATTGTTTTATCAATCAGCGACGAGTATAATTTGTCATTGGATGGTGCATATAAGATGACAGTGTTATCAGCACAGTGTTTTTGGTTTATTTTACTTTTACAACTAATTGAATATTCAAAACCATGTGCCGATATAGTTTTCGTTCTGTATGGTTCCAATACCGTTAAGCAGGAATTCGAGGTTTGATAACTTCTTCGAACATAGAGAAAATTAATTCATTCACTACCAGTTTAATTGGAAAATCAAATTGAAGAAAAAATGAAATTATCAACTTTAGCAAGAAAGTATTTCAAATTTCAAATTATAAAGATGAACAATGAAAGATTGTGATGTATGTATGGTCACAAAATATCAAATTAAAAAAATTTACGAAATGAGAAATTTTCGAGAAATTATTTAGCAAATGATTAATATGGCGAATGATGTGGCAAAGCAATTTGATATCGAAAAAAAAGGACATCGAGTAGCGATTTTGGAATTTAGTAGCAAAGCAATCCTCTCTAAATGGTTGCGATATCCTTTCGATCGGATTAAGGTTGTTCTATCCGAAATCATACGGAGAGTATTTTCAAACCATCGCAAAAACTTAAAATTATTTTCTACAAATTTTTATTTGAGTTTCATTTAAATTCACTTAAATAAGTCAGTCTTTTTTTTAAAAGAACTTTCCACTTATTATTATTTGTATTATTATTTTAAAACTATAGACTAATGATGAAATGGAAAAAGTGATCAAGAATTTACCTTATATTCACGGGACAGCAGATACCGGGCGAGCACTCGGTGTTGTAATTCATGAATTCCTACCTCATCGTCGACCTGGCTCGCCATTTTTGGTATTTGTAATCACTAATGGTTACTACAGGTTATATCATTTAATCACAGATATTATATCAGAAAAAGTATAGGAAGTTGGAATGCAGTGCTCGAGAATTTCATAATCTCCTAATGCAGGAGAAGAAACAGACAAAACACTTCTTGACAAAGAAACTTACCGCCTGATTATTTCTGTGATTAGTCATTATCTTACGAGCCTAATTTTTGAGGCCTTAATTTTTTCATTTTAATTTAAATAGGTGATGACAAAGAAAAAAATGAGTAAATGAGTTTTGTTTTATTGTGTCCATATATATATATATGGACACAATGTTTAAATATATATACAGGGCTGTAATTTTTTCTAAATTTACTATTTTTTCCAATTTTATTGCATGACATCAAATATGAATACAAAATACATCTGTGCAAATTACAAAATAAATAAATGAGGTTTACAAGCCCTAAACGTGAAAGGAAATCGCTATTTATTTAATTTTTTTTCCGAGAATTTTCACCCTCTAATTGAAAATAATTGATATTTTGGATTTATATTGAGAAACAATTTTCCAACAAGTAAATATTCTTTTGAAATTTTTGAAAATATAAACGATGATTTAAAAAAAATAAACAAAACAGATTGTGCTTGTAGAGATTCGAAAGAAGCGCAACATAATGCGGCAAGTCTTATTGCTAAACCAAATGTTCAACTTTTTGTTGCAACTGCTTCAAAGCTACATAACATGTAAATTGCTTATGTTTAAATTCAATCATTTGAATTTAAAGATTGCAGTTTTAATTGACAGTTCTTTTTAAGTATTATTATTATTAGTGTTAATATTATTAATTAATTAATGTTGATATCGATATTATTAATATTGTTAATTAAGTATTATTAATGTCGTTTTTTTAAATCTTAAATTCCATTACAACAAGAAGAATTAAAATCATAATAATGAATATGATCATTGATAAGAAAGAAAGCATCAATTATAACAATATCTTGGTATCTTGTTTTTTTTCTTTATTCTTTAATTCAAATATTTAGTAATCATTTCAGGAGAGGCTTATCACTTCTTGTTAACAATAACTCATCACATATCCTAACAAATATGAATTCTCAAATTATCTCATTGAGCATACTAAAACCGTATAGTGAATGCTTTGGTTTGAAAACTTCCTTCATTAAGAAGAAGGTGACTTCATCACTAACAGCTACCAATAATACCTTTACTACCTTATCTTTTATCACCACTGCAATCAAACATCGAATAAATGGGTGAGTTACGGTTTGTCAAATAATTGTTGTCACCTATGATAAGATAATCTAATTCATCTATTCCGTTAAAAGTACTGTAATTGGTCTAAGTGCTGCATTTTCACTCTCTGTCTTCTGATCATTTCATTATAATTAATTCAAACTTACAATTTTACTTTTCTTCTCGAGAATACATTTTTTTCTTCTTACAGACAGAAAAATCTTAAAAGTGCAAAACTTCTTCAAGATTTGGGATCGAAAAATGAGACTGCTGCTAAATTTAATTTTCGATCAGCTCGTTTTGTTGATATACCTGTTAATATTGCTACTCCATCAACAATATTTACTACTACGAATAGAAATATTCCAGCAAAAGCCAATATCAAATCAGATTTGTTCAGTAAACATTTCATTTTTTTTGATTTGCTTCATTAAGAATTAGCTTAAATAGTAATTTCTTGATTTACTTTTTAAACAATAAAAGTAAGCATTACTGAATTGAATTGCATATAAATTTTATCACAGAGTGTTTGCTGGATGTTGTATTTTTGATGGATTTTTCCGGGGGAACATCAGATAAACGCGACACTTATATTGATTTTGTATCAACTCTTATCAGATCCATAAATCTTGATCAAACATCTGCACATGTTCGTTTTGCTTTGAAAATTTTCCAAAATTTCACTTCAATTTATTTTGTATCAAACCTTATTAGATTCATTTTTATCTATTACTGTTAATACTTTATAAACTACAAAAAAAATAAATTTAACTATCAAGATTCAAATCAAAAGTTTGAAAATTCTATATTCCAAGATTCTGAAAATTATATAATTGGAATATATATCTTTACCATCAAGAGGCAAGTTTGCTATGATTGAAGACTGAAGAAGCTCCGAATTCAATTTTTTAAGGTAGCTGCGATATATTATTCGGGTCCAAAACGTGCACGTACGCAATTCCATTTACGTAAACATAGTACAACGGAAGAAGCTATCAAAGATTTACACCAAACACCATTAAATGGTGGTACAACACGTACCGGTGAAGCTATTTATTATGCAATCAGTGAATTCGATGAAAAATTTGGTGCAAGAAATGGTGCTAAAAAAATGATGATTATTTTTACTGATGGATATTCACAGGTTCCCAACACATTTCCTATTTTAATTTCCACTGCTCATCATCTTTGCTAATTTACGATATCCTGAAGAAACTAAAATTCATGCCCTTCTTTTATTAGCTTAGCTTAATCTATCGTCATCATATCAAACTGATTAGTTCTTTTTTTTCTAAATTATGATTAAGGCTACAAATTTATTCGCATTTTTTTTTCAGGACGATACAACTGAAGCAAGTCAAGCAGCTCGTAGCAAAGGTATCGAGTTGAAAGTGGTATCTGTGGAAGATGAGAACATACCGCCTGATACGAAACAAATTATTGCCATCACTGGAGATCCATCAGTATGCAATTATTTTTAACTTGTTGAATTATCATTATCAAATTTCTTGCATCAAATAATTTAGCATTTTGGAAGCGTTACATTCATTCCATAAATATTTAACTTTTTTCATTTTGTAATATATTTTTTAATTTAATTAAACCGATACATTGCTAATAATTCTAGAACTAAATTTGTTATTCAAATATCTCAGTTCTTCTATTTTATCTTTCAGGATACATATTCCTCCAAAGACTTCAAGAAACTTCAATCTCTTTTTGATGAATATTCTCGACGATGCAAACTATAGATAACGTCACTTTTCTGTAAAATTTTGCCGTAAATTAGCGCTTAATAAATCATGATGTGGAATGAAATAATGGAAATTAGAAATGAATTTGAATAGCTTGCACAAATTACGTATGCTTCTTTTAGAAAAAATCAATAGCCACATTAATGTATAACATCAAGATTATTGCCAAGTAAAAAAATATCATAAATTCATAATCCGATAAGAATCTGTAGAGAACAAAAATCAATTTTTTCTCATATGATAATTTCAGTGAATTAAAAATTTCACATTGAATTGATTTACAAATATATATATATATATATATAAATAATTTATTTAAAATTTATTCCAAACTATTAATGAGTTGTTAAGCTGCTAAATGTTCAACTTATAAAAATTGAGGATATATTGCTGGTTCATTAAACGATCGAAAAAAGACCAAAAATCATAATTATAGGACAACGATAGTATTTTTACATAAATATTTATGTATGCATGTACTGACATAAAAATACCTGTAAAATTATTCGCGCACAGACAAAAGAATGTTTTCTTCATACATCTCCACTAACATCATTTTAAAAATTGACCGATCCGGATTTAAAATACATTTATCAGTCAATTAAATCAAGTTAAATTATTCATCCATCTTCTTCTACACTTATTTTAATTTGTTTTTAATTTCATGCCAATCTGTACAAAAAACAAATTACTGAAAATGTATGTATTTTTACGACTTATTAATAGAGGATTAGTACGATGACCCGTCTCGTTTTAACAAGAATTTTTCATTGAAGGAGCAACAGAATAAAAAAAGAAAAAAGAAATCGTGCAAAATATTGTCAAGAATTTTCAATTTGTTTAGGAATTTTTGGAAAACATTTTGTGTGAATTTTTAATTCATTCTATTAGAGTGGGAAAAGGTGAAAGAAAAAGTGAAAAAATAGGACTGATTCGAAAACTAGTTTAAAAAAAAGAGGAGAAGAATCTCTGAGTTTATAAAAAGCTCCGATTATAAAGAAAAAGGATATTAACAATAATGATGAGGTAACATAGTTTCTGAAAATTTGCATAAAAAAAAGATGGATAGGTGATTTCAAATATATATACCATAGAATTTTATGTTCATTACATCATCAAATTCTCCAGAAATTAGCAAAGCATTGAACAACAACAAAAAAAAAACCTTTCATTCGTTTAAGAGAATCATTTTAGGAAAATTGTGAAAATATGGCATTGAATAGTATAATTTTTAGCTTTCTTTCTCCTACACGAAACAAAACCAAAAAAAAAAACTTTCCAAGAAAAACTATTAAATACAAAATTACGACAATCTGCCCATACTTTTTATTCTGTCATAAACAGATATTCTTCCCTCTCATATTCCATTCTTCCATTAATCCTCGAGAGAGTTACACAGTTATGAAGCTGATTTGGTAGGAAAAAAAAAAATACTAGTAACCGGGATGTAACGAGGTATATCTACGAGATCACAATTAAACCTAAAATATTGTACATTCAAAGCATCTACTTTGAATGTACAATATTTAAATTCCGGAGAAATATACCATTGAAAAATGTTTCAAACAGAAAACTTTGGTGAGATATACTATTTTATATTTGAAATATGGAAATGTGCAGAGGAAAACATTAACGAAATAAAATATTTAGAATGAAGTAGTTTAATGTCTTACAATAGTAATAATACCTCATATTTCAGTCTAATTTATAAACAATAAAACGAACAATTGCTATAATTAAACAAAAGAAAAAAAAAAGAAATATTTTGTCTCAAATCGGTACTATTTTACCCTGTAAATTAGAAAATATTTGTAAAAAATGATAAATATAATGTAAATGAAAAGGATCATGGCTATCAAGTAGATTAACTGGATTCAAAAATTCGTGCATTATTCTTTTTGCACTTATTTAAAAATAAATATTTGCAAATCTTATTGTAAAAATTAGTAATACGCATTGCTCCGTTTAAAGAATTTCAAATTTTCCACAAAAAAGATGGCGAGTCAATTAATTTTTTTGTATACCTCAATAAGTGTGCATTCATATCGGGTTACCGAATTTTGTTATTAACATCTTCAGGTTAAAGCCATATTGTAGTTGACAGATATCATTAATGACTAATTGCAGAATTATCGATCAGATTCTTTCGTTGAACTGCTTCTTCCACTGATGTAATTACTAATAATAACACTAACTTATGTTGTAAATAAGTAAGTTTTGACAATTACCATGAAATATATATAGTGAAAGAAATAATTATATCTTATTTAAAAAATGAAGAAATAATTTCAAACCTTAGTCCTTATTTTACAAAGCTAATCTATGTTGCCAAAATCAAGACTTATTAAAATCACATTCTCTTTGTATAATCTTACTTCCCACATTTTTGATAAATTCTAATCCTAAGTTGAATAAAATTTAAAAAAAAAAAACTCAAAACTTCTCAAACGAGGAAGGAATATGATACATATTTGATTCTAAAAAAACCTCCCTGAAAGAGATCTGATAAAGAAACTATGAACTTATGCACCAAGTAAATATCTCTTGACAAATTCAAAAATATCTAAAGGTTATGCAAGAGAAGTTTTATCCTTACTTTTCTTTGTCCCAAATTTGAGTTGGAAAATTTGTCGTTAACAAATACATTACTAGTTTTCCGTTAGCATAATTAATTTTAAAATATTACATTTGATTTGTTCTTAGAGACATCGAAATATTTTCAAGGCCTATCAGTAAACTAGTAATACATTTGAATTTGCTAAGATGTGCCACTTTTTTACTGCTCTCTCAAAATATCTTTTCTGGACAACATAAATCTACACCTATCAAGACTACGTGATCCTATTTTTCGTAAAAAGTAAATAGGACGTTACTAGATTTTTGCATGACCATCAAAAAAAAAAAATTCGAAAAGGGCAAAATGATTAGCGGCCTGAAATAATGAACGAAACGAATGTCATCAGTAACAAAGCTAACAAATGACCCATTCAGAAAATTCACAAAATCAATGAGTAATGGCTGGATTTTGTAAATTATTCAAGAATTGCAGAGCCTGTGCTTGTGGAAACTGATTGAGAACACTGGCAGCAGTAAGAGATTGATTGAGAGCTTGATGAGCAGCTAAACCCAACGAACCGGACATCAAAGTATTCTGGGTGAATTGATGTTCCTGCGTTAGAGGTGTTTGCACAAAAAGATCCTGACCAAGTCTTCCATTACTTCCTGATTTTCCGATAACTGAACTGAGTGGATGCTGTTCAGAAATGGCAATAGCTGCTGTAGTTGAAACAGCGGTAGCAAAATTATTGGTGACTTGTATGGTTGGTCTCTCGACGTTAGCTTTCAGTGGATCAGCATTCAACGAGCTTTGCTGTTGCTCCTTCTGATGATGATGGTGATGATGATGATGAACAAAAGATAATGAATCAGTCATTGGGGAGCTTTTTGCTGATATCGTTTTCTCGATAATATTACTAGCATTAGTTGTTTTAATATTATTGTCATGATGTTGCAAATTGAGCTGTGACTGTGCTGCTTCAGCTTCAGCTCGTGCTTTCATTGCATGTGATTTCATATGGGCATTCAAACTTTTTACCTGAAAAGAAGCAAGAAATCATTCAATATTTTAAATTCCTTCAAAAAATTCAAATAAAACAAAATCATAGCATTGAAACAATAGTATTCGAGCTTTATAAAAATATAGCTTAATAATATCGACTGCTGTAATCTATTTAGGCAATGATGAATTCAAAATGATTATGTATTATTTATTTAAACAAAAATTTACCTTCTCGAAATATTTATCACACAGACGGCAATGAAAAAAGCCATCAGCTGCCGGTTGGGCACCTTTTTTAACTGGTGGTCGATGCAACTGCAAAATAAAAAGCAACATGACAAATGAGTAGGGAGTGATCTGTCATGTGTGTTTGCTATAAGTATACGTAAAAAACATTTGTGCATTATTTGCATCTCTAAGATTTTGTAAGTAAATGCAAGCTTAGTTTGTATACTTATGGTTATACAAACTAAGCTTGCATTTTACAACTGCTTATATGAGATAAGAAAGCAAAAATATTTGCTTATGTCTTGCAACTAACTTAAAACGCTTGAGTGACTGTATATTCTGAAAATATAAAATGTAATGGAAGATGTGCTGCTATGTTACCTGGGCAAAAGGTCGAGATATAGTATCATTTCCGACAACCGTTGACGATGAAGCGCTTGAGTGTGGTAGTTCCCTAAATCTTGCCATTGAGTACTTCCGTGCTATTTGCGAGCAGCCTGTATTCCTCTCCGGATTTCCACTTTTTAGTTTACTGAAAAAATAAAATTTCAAAATTATATTGAAAAAACTTAAAACTCCATTATCAGTGAAGAAATTTTTAGGAAAAAAAACTATATAATATCTTTACAATTACAAATTAAAAGTTTCTATTCACAAATTTTAGCTTCTCACAAAGTCATTTCATTTTTACCCCCGACATTTACTAGTCTTTAATCTTAATAAGGCTGTGGTACCAAAATATGACATAAATATACGTTGTTATATCGAAAACTTCTTAGAAGTAAAAAACATTAAAACATACGCAACTAGTAATTTTCAACTTTAAAATATGTTATTTGCTGGTCAAAAGTTTTTTCCATATTCTGCAAGAATCACATTACAAACGCAAAAGAAAGGACTTATATTTACTCTGTTTCATGTGAAATAGCAGACAGTTCACTTCCTTCTTCTGAACCTGACAATTCGCTACTTTCGACTGGTCGATTGTTCGACCTCAGATTATAACTTTCCATTAAATCAAGCTAAACAAATTGACTGAAGTTTGTTTCCAGCTCAAAGATTTTTTTTTTCAAACAAAAATTATGATTGAAGTTTGTTT